ACATCGAGATATATATGTCGTTTTCCAAGCAGTACACGAAAATGTGTGAGACAGGACAGTGATTCATCTCCTACTATAATCTGCTAGTCCCTAAGTCTGTGCCTAAGATCCATTTTCCTTCCCCACAGCATAAAAATGTTTCCCCAGAACATCTCTACATGTTGACATTTGTAAAACATTGTTTCTTCTTCTGATTAACAGAATGTAAATTGTGTACTCTCCACTCTTGGTGGTTTCATTTTGAATTAATGTACATTTGTGGTAATAATGTTATGCAGTATCTTAAACTGAAATTCCCTAAGTTTTGTATCTATAGTTGCTATTAGTGGTATTCGATAAAAATGCTCCCAACAGTCTATGTTGATATTAAATTGGTGTATATGGTAAATTTCGGATCGAGGGTTGATAAACTGGTTTTCAATTATTTTTTTCTATATCTTCTGTTGTTCATCACTGGGAGAATTTCCTTTGTGAGTTCTGACCACACAGTTAGCATACTAGTTATTTGTTGATTCAGCAAATTCACCTTAAAGTTACATTTTAAAAGCAGCTCTTTACCTCCTACTTGTTTTAAAGTTTTATCAAAAACAGTTTCAACGGGTGTTGAATAGATTTATCAGAGTATCTTCTAATCCAGTTTATTCTAGTTGCCTTATAAATAGTATTAATGTCAGACGCCCCCAGACCCCCTTTTTCCTGTCTTCCTTGGTCGAAACTTCTTACATTCGAGATATACGTAACAACTAGCTCTCTGACATCGATGCATCAACATTCAATAGTAGTCGAAGTTTCCATCATGTCACGGTGACATAAACACCATGTACTACTAGCAGAACGTTTATTTAACAATCCACATCATATATGATAATCCACTAAACTATCCCCAACGGGAAGTACTAGTATATGGCAAAAATCGCATCTGAAATACAAGATCCAACGACCCCACCCAGAAGGTTTTGCGAACTGAAGTATTTTCGCATGACATCGGGCTTCTAGAGAGAAATTGCGTACGAATTACGTGTTTAATGTGGAAAATGCATTATACGCTTAAAAATAAGATCTTTGTACTATTTTTTTATGAGTAAAATAGCTGATTATATTTTACACCTTGCCTATGTCTACGAAATTACGTTTTTTTATTCATTTAAAGCGGGGGAGTCATCACCTGCGCATGCGTCAGATGGCCATATCATATTACAAACAAGCGTTTACTCATGAGCCTTTGCGTTTTTAGCATGCGTTGTTATCGTCGCCTGTGACACAATTCCCACGCGTGCGCAGGTGACGTCCCTTCCGCATTAAATTACATTATTACGGAAATCAAAACAATTGATTACAGAAAAATACCCCTTTCCGACCCCTTTGTTACTAGTGCGTCTTTTGCTGTTATTATTATATTCTCGCAAATCGACCATTTGACCTAGATTTTGCTAAGATGGCACGCTTATTTTATTTCCGTAATATTCCGTTAGCATTGTGAAATACTCAACTATTTTTCTTTTTTTTTATCCTGACACGGTTACTAAATTTTAGTTAGTCCATCCCCGGTATGTTGCGTTTGGTTTTTTATAATAATTATCCACGGACCGCGTATATTATACTTCATTGATCACGTTAGCCCATGCTCTAATTCGACAGTTGTATTACGTTGCACGTATTTTTTCTTTGAAATGTTCTTGTCGCTGCCGTCATCTGATGAGTTCGAAATACTCGTCTACGGACGATAAGTATTCGTCGTGCCAGTTTTTAGTTTGAAATACCACAAAAAGCCAATCGGAATTAAATTACAAGTTGCGCGGGGACGTAGTTGATACGGTGTAATGACGGCATCGGTGGTCTCTCTTCGGTCAAACCATGGAGGTAAAAAAATATCTTTTTACCTCCATGGTCAAACTAAGTAGAATGAGCTATGTCACAGTTTTTAACTGCTGCAAGATTCGTAGGAGGAGATACTGAGCTATGGAGTCCACCAATCATCACGCATTTATATATATAAACCGAATCAACCCTTAAATCAGTAATCTACAGTTCAACAGTGTGGGCTGACATAGCAGGTCCACCAACAGTCCTCATTTAGTTGCGTATCGTGTATCGTCACGAATTGGTCTGCATTTAAAACTCCGTATAGATAAATACCGAAGCCCATCACACACTAAATTCAGGGAGCTGCTATAGGTGAGTACAGAGTAAACTGGGGACATTATGAGTTGGTTGACAATTGATTTAGTTTTACGCCAGCTTTATTCGATATGCCGTGACTCATTATAATACACATACAGCCTAATATTGGGGGCCGAAATTCTGTGTTGAGCCGTGATTTGAGTTGATGTGTACGGGCACGTATGGTGATGTAACAACATTTATAAAAGAACAATCGTTATTCGTGGGTGTGTGAAACACAAGAAAAACAAAAATGCAATTACAATGGCGATTTATTTTCGTGCCAGTTTGTTTGGCTATCATAGAGACGAATGCCTTTAATATTAATATATTTAATATTATCTTTAATATTGCTATGCATCAGTAGTAGCGTTTATATCGCCAGTCAGTAATTTAGTGATTTCACCATTTCGATGGAACAGGAGATTGAAAGTAGGAACGCCGTACAGTAAATTGTTTGTTTATGTTTTACCGCAGCGAGCACCCTACGCATGCGTACGTATATTATATTACTGGCCATTGTCGTGACATCGTAGTTCAACGACACGAGGATGGAAATGGATACGATACATAACAGCTTACGCTTTAAAGGGAAGCAGAGTTCTGGTTTTTGTTACTCTGTACATGAAATTTGTGATATGTGAATGAATTCAGACGAAAAAAACAACTTGTATGTGCTGCGGAATACCCTAAATATCGGATATAAAACGTACTCTTTGCAAGGCGTCATTTCGTCTCTAGAGGGCGTTGGTCAATGACGTCAATAATGAACATGATGTCTCTACCATATCGCTATTGTATATATGTGCCTACTTTATTCTGGTTTTCAAAGACGTTGAATAGCCGTCTACAATTCAAATATTTTTTGTTTGTAACTATCTATAATTATATGCACGTAACCTTTTGACCTAGATTTGACTGGGATGGAATATTTTATTTTAAACAATATTCTAACATGACATACTGCCACCACAACAATGTAAAAACACAAGTACGGTATGATTGTCTGATTTGCGAAGTACATCTGTAATGAATGGGTTTCTTTCCTGCTTGTTGACTCTTTACGATGTGTTCACAACTGTATAATTATTGTTGTTTTTCCCAATGAGAAAACACAGAAAGTCAAGAAATTAAATAAAAAGCTCAATGAAAGAAAATATTCCTAAGCCTAACATAAAACATAATTAATTTTGCGTGTGTTTGGAATTACAGTATGTTTGTAAATATCTCGTCTTTCCATAATAATTTTGATTGTTTGAAATGCCTATAGACCGTGTCCCTGTAATGATTGGTTTGGAATGCGATCATCGTCACTCGTCTCTCCATGTTGAGTTTAGGAGGGCATCGGTGCCGACGTCTGTCATTCAACACAATCAGCCGAGACAGGACAGACATTGGTGGTAATTCAAGGGGATCATGTTCAGTAATTTGAGGGCTAAAAACCACAATAATTAAAGCGGGGTAGTCGTCACCTGCGAATGCGTCAGATGGCCATAGCGTGTCAATGTTTACAAACTTAACATGAATCGTTATGGCATTCATGCGCACAACACCTCACCATATTTCAACTTTTAAATTGTCAGTTAAGAAGGTATTTCATAGTAGCACTTCTATGGGATTGACGTACTAGAATGAATGGGTTCAATTATCAATGTTCACTGATGATGTTATCAATTAGCCTTCTCGAGGTGAAATGACGTCATACAAAGAAGACGTTTGTCGTCTACTTCACAGCCCATTTTATACCCGATATTTATAGCATTTCGCAGCACATACAAGATGTTTTTATCGCCAGAATCTATTCATAGATCTCAAATTTTATGTATGGAGTAACAAAAACCAGACCTCTGCTTTTCTTTAATAGTTTTGTCGTTACGGAACGCCTATGTAACTCAGGTCTATGGTCTATGGGAGCAAGCCTGGCTGGACAGCTATACCCATTCACGCCTCTGGGAATTTGTGTTATTAGCTTGTCAATAAAAGTGACAACTGAATTGAGCCAATAAACTGTGAACGATGGTGCCAGTGGCCAATCACATGAATCACCACGCCTCTATAAACCAACTAAACCTATAAGCAACAGTTCATCAGTGCTCAAACTAGTTGTATTACTAGTCTTAGATCAGTGCAATGTGACGTGTGTGGATATAGACTTTTGACAAAGCACGTCAACAGTTGTTATTGCCCCTATTGCGGCGTTTAACATGAATTTTTTGCAATCCATGAATGAGGCAGCCGGGGTCAATGTTGGTTGGAGGTCCACCCAACGTTTAAACAAGGTATAATTTGGTTTATATAAGACATATGAAACAAACTTTACCAAGTTCACCACGACGTCAAACCGTAAAAGATGCTTGGCCAATTTTGAAACTATAAATACTAAATTAACGTTATTATTGACACATCACTGCTCATTTTGCTCAGTCAGAATCTTCCGTTATTCTGTGCGATGTCACCCCAAATTTGTGTAAAGTCACTTTAGGCCACTTTACGAGGTTTTCTATGAGTCAGTTTCTATTCACAGTCAGCTGGCGTACAATGAATGTTATTTACTGTATGGGGCAGCCGTCTTGAATACGGCTTGAAACTAAATAAAGTAAATAAAGTTGAGTTTTCAGAATTCCACAAATCAATTAAAAAGCTTTTAACCGCTAGCACAATTCGGTCGAATTCGTCGTTTTTGTGTGGAAAATCCTTTGCATATGAGCCTAATTACACCAAGAATGTAGAACACTTTCCCGGGGTATTTGAAACCGAAATCGTCATATAACTGTATTGCTGTCGCTAATTGCCTCATTAAAAAGTTAAATCATTTGGCTATTTCTTTCGGTTTCATGCAGGTTCTGGCCAAGATGTATTCCAAGTGTAATTCTGATATCAGATATGAATTGATGAAGAAATGTCACGTTGATGAAGCTGCACATATACTGACGGGTGCATTTCTTCATGGTGATCCTCTGACGCAAACTGTTGTCCCGTCTTATGAAGCTGAATTATCAGCAAACATCGGTTTATGCACAGACTGTGCGGAGGAGGGTGTGTCGATGGTTGCTATTGATAACGTCACTGGAGAGGTAGTTGGAGCCATTACTGGAAAGCTTTGCCATGGCAACAACATTGAGAAAGGGCACACAGATCACCCAATGGTCACGCCAGAATCCACTTCCTTTCTATCAATAATCATTCCTTTCCTGGAAGAATTGGAAATGGCTTTCTACAAATATCCCGATTTCACTAACAACCGTGACTGCATTGTATTACAGAGTATTAAGTTAGGGGTACATAAAGACTATGGAGGCATGGGTATTGGCACCAAATTGGCACGCATGCGCGGTGAAATGGCCAGAGGAAAGGGCGTGAAGTTTATTGTTGCAGCATGTACTGGGTCATTAAGTCAAATGTTGTATTCAAGATTAGGTTATGAGTGTATTGGTGAAATTTCATATAAAAACTATACAACCAAAGAAGATAAACCATTCGCTAACATCACAGTGTGCTCAGCAGCGAAACTATTTGTAAAACAGTTTTGAGGACAATCGCTAATAAATAAAGTTATATAAAATAAATTTGAAATTTTATGGTTTGTGAAGACTACATAAATCATGCAATAAGTAAATCGGGATGTGATTTGAATGTGATATGGTGCGTTGTGATGTGATATGGTATTGTCTGCTACGAATGTGATGCAAGTTTGAGGTGATGTAATGTTTTGTGGATGTGAAGTGAAGTGATGTAATAGACACTCTTTACCACTAAAAACAGCTAGCTAGAAACATAATTTTTGGGTAATATATATTGACAATTGAGAGTGATGATACTAAAATTATGCAATTGGCTGAAAGAAGGTGACATAATGTTTGAAATTTATCTATTTATTACGCCATGGTTGTTAACATCGTAGAGTGTACCTTTCTTAATAAGATAAGTGTAAAATGAGACAAAGTCATGAGGTTTGAATTAACTTTGTGGAACGAATGGATTTGTGACGAAATTCATTATGGTACAATAACAGATTTAATTGAAAACACGAGCATTATCATAAACCATCTGTATTTCCATCAAAACAGCAGTCTTTTAGTGTTTTCGGAAAAGTGTTTATTGGAGTAAGTACATTGTAAGGCACACAAAGAGTTGTACGGAAACCTAAATGCTTCATTAAAATAAAAATGTTTATTGATAGGGCAAACATAAATGCAACTAACTGTATACAAGCAGTACTAACACAATTGAGTGAAAAGAAATTAAAGTATAGTCCGGGACTCGAACTGGGTGTTCGTAGGTAAACAGTATGACATCATATACCTCGTATTGCCGGCCTCGCAACGCTATGGGAAGTGCGCCCTCACACCAGGGCAATAATTTCCTGTATCACATCTGGCCCAGCTTTCATCATTCAAAACAAATGCGTCATTCTAAATTACGTCGTGTGTTTGAGGTCACGCCGTGGTAAAAATATAACTATAATTAATAAGGTATATGATAAAACCTTTATGGACTGGATAAGGCTTTTGTGAGCTGAGCTTGTGAGTCCATAAAGAATATAATGAAATGATAATGACATCCCCTCATTCAGGAAATAGTTTTATAATGTTTCGACTTTAAATTATTAAATTACTGAGCAACATATCAGTACTATCCCACGCATCAGCTGGTGGAAGAATACTTATATGCGAAGTACCTCGTGATCCAATGACGTTTGATACTCTTGGTGGTACTTCAAATTCCCACAGAGCATTCTAACACGTGGATTAAACAATTTCCCGCAAACAGTTTAATTTTAAGCACTTCAGAAAACGAAAGCACCTCAATATTTTAACCAAAAATCACCGGACTATAAGTGCTTCACAAAAGTGCAAATGTGTAAAGCACATTTATGTGCTCATGAGAGTGACTTTCTTCCACATTATTTTTTATTTGAAGCACTTCAGAAAACACATACAGTGTTATGTATATGGCATTTCCACAAGTTCATAAGAGTAACTCAAGCACCTTTCTTTTTTGTTTCGAATTACTGCAACAACAGATACACATGTAATGTTTCAACCTAAAACACCAGACTATTCATAAAGTATTATGTATGCAGTCTATAATATGCAGTCATAATCGCAACAGTGCTTATTTTCGACTGTATACATCATATTTATTAAAAAAAGTAGAAAAAGATTACCAACACAGATCACCATTTTTTTGCAGACATATTGTGAACGCAGCACTAGGCAGGCGTTAATTGTCAGAGACCTGGTCGATAGTTCATTTTTTTCATAACTATTATTCAATTGGTTGAGATTACGACGCACTTGTGTGAATTTGCATATAATCCAAACGATCAGCTCTAAGTCTCTAACAAAAATACATAACTGTTTAACTATTATTCAGAAATGCCATGAATACAATACAACACAACACAAACATGAAAGAAACATTTTCAACGGAAATCTGTGGTTTCATTATCTATATATGTACGTAATTCTTGCGCAAAAAAGAGTAGAGTATCAGCTGTTTTATTCCAAACATTATCATACATCGAGTATAGATACATATACATAATACAATGGTTACAAGACGACAACACACGGTTATATACCATATATATAACATACATATTACACACAAAATCAAACTGACGACCACACATCACCAAAATACTAAAACAAAGTAATTGTTCTCATAATCCTTCCAAAAGTGTAATATTTGGTTCACACAACAAATAAGGTATTGTGATTTGATGGAATATGGCCAATTGGCGGCTAATTTGACATATCAATCCAAGTATGTCATACGTTTATAATTTATAATCAAAGTTGATTGAACAATTGCAGTAGATGCAATGAACATGTTTGCATTGTAACTGTCATTTTAAACCTTGAACGACATTGACTCGGTCATCAAGAACAAACACATGGATAATATGCAATATGACGTGTACCTTGTCATATTTTATCGGGTCAACTATGAAATGTTATTTTGATTGTATATATCAGTTGTGTACCACGTTTGAGAGCATGAAAGAATGTTAGAACGGAACCTACATTAAACGTATCTCTGTTCCAACTAAAATACAATGAGTTGAATAATTTATGCAGTCATCATGGAGTAAGTGTGTCAATATCACAGCCCGAAATCTGTTTTATCATCAATATGAGGGACGAACAAGACTTGATATTTTTGAATGGGATCTTCCCCTTATAATGGTACTCGTCATACATAATTTCATTCACAGTGTGGAATCCAAACTTTGCGTACAACTTTTGTGTGTACGGCCCTGTACACTCCACGACGATGTAGCGACACCCTGCATCCCTTGCCAGGCATATCTGTTTTTCTGCTGATTTGCTGGCAATACCTTTTCCTTGATATTCGGGGTGAGTCCCGATGTTTATAATTTGCATGATGCGACTAGACTGAAAATCTGGATAATCTTGAAAAGGATTTCCTACGTATAGCTCATCGACTGCCGAATACATTGGATCAAACAGATCGGAGAACTTCTCTGGTATAAGAGCAGTGTCGCCTTCTTCTGGATTAAGAAATCCTTGGCGGATAAACCCAGTGGAAACTCCTACCAACTTATCGTTATTGGTATCGATAGCAACAACAGAAACACCATGCAAAGCACTTCGCTTGCACACTGCTAAGTTGAATTGAATCTCAGCTTCGAGAGGAATCTGCAGGCATGAA